AATGCTATGGAAATTAAATAAATTAATATATGGAAAGCACTAAAACAGGACCTGGTACCTGACAACTTCTATCATAAGTTAACTGCTACTCCTGCTGCTGCTGCTATTGTTATTTTGATAATTCTGCCATCCCACATACTAAGTTGTCTCTCTCTAGTCTTGTGATGACTAAATAAATGAACATAAACCTCCATGGGTGTCTTCTGAAGCCACTTGGAGTTCATCTTTTAGCAAGTAGAGAAAAGAAAAACCAAGAGCAAACCACAGGTGGTGACATTTAAATGTATACCATGTGACCTTTTTGAATATAACTTGTGCAGTAGCAAGGATAATTGACTTCTTTTTCACTCTGTTCCAGAGCAGCATGTGTTTTATGTACACATTTGCTTTGTTTGAAAGTTTATCATTAGCAAAATCATAGAGAAACAAAAATTGTGGTGATGTGAATAGCATTATAAATACAGTTGCCTTTTCCGAGTTGACAGGATCCTCGTAGTTTCTAAATAGCATTTATGTGACAGCAGACCTCCGGGATACTTTGTTGGGCTCTGAATGAAAAAGTCACTGAAGCAAATATGAATCTTGCTTTACTCTGCATTAATTGGAACAACAACTTTCCATAATTGTGCTTTCAAAGTTAGGTTTAAAATATTAATCTTTTTCCTTCATGATTATACTTTCCCATTATTCAGAAACTGAAATATTGGTCAGCAATTTCAAGCTGTGCTTCTCAAGGCTTTGACAAAGATCACAGTTATATACCTCCACAACCCTAGGTACACACAGTATATACCACCATATCATATACTTAAAGAGACTGGAACATTTCCCACATGATATGGGTATGCTAACCCAAATTTTATTACAAATGTTCCGGTTGAGAGTCAGAGACAGGAGCAGAGTCGTTTCTCTTGATTTTGTGGTTTATTTTTTTTTAAATATTTATTTTATTTATTTGAAAGACAGAGTTACAGAGAGAGGTAGAGACAGAGAGGTCTTCCATCCACTGGTTCACTCCCCAGATGGCCGTAATAGCCGGAGCTGCACCAATCCAAAGCCCGGAGCCTCTTTTGGGCTTCCCACACAGGTACAGGGGCCCAAGGACTTGGGCCATCTTCTACTGCTTTCCCAGGCCATAGCAGAGAGCTGGATCGGAAGAGGAGCAGCCGAGACTAGAACCGGCGCCCATATAGGATGCCGGCGCTTCAGGCCAGGGCATTAACCCACTGTGCCACAGCACTGGCCCTGATTTTGTGGTTTAAAGAACATTGCTTCCAAGGACACACACTGACCTTGAATATATTTTACATTCTTAGCTGATTTATGGCTGTGACTAACAATGATTAAAACTTTGAAAACGGCCATGGAAATTTCTCTTTTGTCATGGTTCAAAATGGATGTTCTCTGCTATGTCTTTCAAAATAAGTGCTCTCGCTGTCTCTGTCTCTGGAGTTTACATGTTACAAATAAACTTACTGAAGGAAAAGAGAGTATCTAGTTTCCATATATAAACATAAAGGTACTTTTAGCATGATAAATCATATCTGATAAAATATAACAACAAGCACTAGAAGTGAGATGCTTTCTTTTTTAAATATAATGCATGGTGTTAAGTACAGAGTCATAATCAACTGAGGCTTAAGCAGGAACACTACTCTGACCATGCCTGTACAGTGTTTATCTTGACCCAAGTGAACCAAAGACTCAATGGAAAGAGCAAGTGAATAAATGGAAAGTATACTTTAGAAAGTAAAATAATATGTATTAATATCCATATTATAAAAGAAACCATTGTATTAAGGTCGTTATAAAGTTTAGTTATAAAGTCGGTAGATTTTTTGCATTGTCAATGGCTGTATATGGAAAATAGGGCTCTACCCCTTTTCATTGAACATTCATTCATTCTTCAATGAACAAAGAAATGTATGTGCTGAAATGAAGTTAGGTGAATTTTATTGATGCCTCTTTTTCTAGGTAAAATTGGCTGCAATATGTATCTCTGGAAGTCCATTGTTGATTCAATTCTCACTTTGCACTATTTGTAAAAAAGTCAAGGCCTAAAATTCAGACAGCGATTCACCTTCTGCAAAACATGCCATGGGAACCAAGTAACAAAGATACGGAAAATGTGACTTATAATATGCATGTTCAGTGAATTTCCGTGGTTGTTGTGATAGTGTTGGTGATAAACAAACGAAATCAAGTACTTTCCATAACCAATCTTTTATATCTTTAGAGCTCAAATATTATTTGGTTTTCCTTTGTAAGAGTTATTTTATTCTCTTTTTTTTTGGTACAGTTTTTTTTTTAATTTATTTATTGCATTAGGTTGATAGTTCCTTGGGGGCAGAAACTATGGCTTATTCATTTCCACATTCTCTCTACCCCCTCTTGAGAGTACTCAACAATTTTTCATTCATCTAACACTTATTGATCTGATATCCACTATATGCCAGATATTGTGCTTATTCTGAATGATATAGCAGTGAATAGATGAAGTTAGTACCATCGTGGAGCTTACATTTTAATGGAGAGAGAGACAGATAGCAGACAATAAGTAAAATACAGAGTAGGTTATTTGGTGATAAGTGTTTTGAAAGATAGAAAGGAGTATGTGGAACATTGAGTTTTGGTGGTTTTTAAATAGAGATTTTAAGGGCTCTGAGGTGAGAACCTGCCTGGTCTTTTCAGAAGCAGTAAGAAGGTTAGTTTAGCTAGAGTGCATGAAGTCAGGGAAAAATATCAAGAGGTGAGTTTGGAAAGATTAGGCTAGAGAGAGAGAGAATTTGTAAGGGCCTTGTAGGCCATTGTAAGGATTTGGATTTTTATTTTGAAGGAAATAGGTCACCATTGCTGCTTCTGAGCAAAAGGCAGATATTCCATAACTTCGATTTTACAAGTTTCCATCTGAAGTGTAGAGAATGTGTATAAGTGGTGAATAGTGCAATCAGAAGACCAATTAGGAGAATACTGCAATAATCCAGATGAGAGACGATGGCTCTAATCAACTTGGTACTGAGGAAGTAGAGTGATATGAGTGGATTCTATATATATTTCAAAGGTAGTACCAACAGGATACATGTGGGGTGTGAGAGCAATGAGCCAAGGATGACTTCAAGTTCTTTGGGCTTATCAACCAAAAAAAAAAAATGGACTATCTACCAAGATGGAGAACACTATGAGTGGAGGAGCAGGTTTGAGGAGGAATGGGAAGCTGAGTTTTTTTTTTCTTTTTTTTTTTTTTTTTTTTTGACAGGCAGAGTGGACAGTGAGAGAGACAGAGAGAAAGGTCTTCCTTTGCCGTTGGTACTAAATCTAAGATACATTTTGTATAACCAAGTAGAGACATTGAATAGGCAGTTGGATATTTAAGTCTGTGGTTCAGGGGAGAGAGCCATGCTGGAAGTACATATTGGAAAGGTAGGATTGTGTAGATGGTATATAAAGTAATGGCATGGCATAACATTATATCATTGATGTTGGTGAACCATTAGTATGTATTTGTTTACCTGCCTTCTTTGTAATCATGCTCATCTCTGATATTAAAACAAACTAGCTGTTTCCATAGGCCATTTTGGGAATCTGTAGGTTCATTTGTGGGCATGTGCCTAGAGTAATGCTAAGTGGTTTGAGGGATATTCAGAGGCATAGTACTCAAATCTTGCCTTCAAAGACCTTAACATTTCGTTAGGGAACTAAGATCTTGACTTGTGAAACACTGTTCATACTACAAAGCAATACTTACCATCTAATATATGCCAGTCAATCATTAAGGCTTTATTGGGTCTTTTCTGTGTTCTACGTGCTGGCCTTAAATGCAATAGGAATTCCAAGAAGTTAGATGCCGAACATAATAGAGAAGAATCATCCAGATGAGTGGAGATTTCTTTAAAATATGTATGATGAAGAACTGAAGAAAAATAAGAGTCATTTTTAATTGCAAGCTAAACTTACAAAGTTATTTGTCTTCAAAGTACGTTCTTTTTTATTTTTTTTAACATTGTATAAAAGGACCAAGTTGCAAATTTGCAGCAGTGGATAGAAATGGTGATGATGAAATAAAGTGAAGAATGAAAATCAGGACATTTTTGTAGGGCTTTTATGTTTACGGAGGACTTTGACATCTCAGATGGCACTTGATCTCCTCAAACCTCTCTGTGCTAAGTAGGGCAGCTAATGCCTTTCCTGGCCTTAAGAGCTGCAGTGGCTCCTAGCTCAGCATTCTTTCAGGAAAGGGGGTTCTTTCAGTGATTTCTCATGAAATTTATCAGTGCTATTTCTAAACCCAATATAGGTCCTGCTGCTCCCAAAGCAGTATAGTCACCACAAGTGTTGTTTCCATCCTCTCAGTACTAGAGAGAACAAAAGTTTACCACCACGTAACTCATTAAAAATGCTCTGCAGGCCTGAGACTCCAAAGCCACAAAATTGAACACAAAGAGCTCAGTCCCCCTCAAGGACACTTCATTTCATGAACTCTCGTAGCTGCTTTTCTCACTCAGAATCCCTTCCTTCTACAGAGCCCCTGTCTTAAATGTAATATTAAAACCAGAAGCAAGAATGTATTTTTGTCTGAACAAAGTTTTCTCACTTGTTTTCATTTCAAACAAGGGATGTGCTGGGTTAATATTTGTACTCTTGCCACTTTAATATCCAATAAATTTTTTTAAAATCTAACCACCAAATCTAACATTAAAAACACATGTATATCATAAACAACACGATCCTTTATTTGTATTCCAAATCAAATATTTTTTTAAGGATTTTTCTCTTTTACCTTGAGTATTTTCTGATGCTGCAACCTCCAGCTTAATCCTAAATACTTGACAATATATGCATGAGCAGAGTGTTATTGCCTCCGGCTAGCCTCATGTCATCTAGTTTGTCTTTTGCTTCACTCCTTTGATAGTATTATCACGACCAATTGTGAATCTGCCAGATGTGTTTCCTCGCAAAAGAACAAATCTAAGAAGGCTTGTGTTTTTCCCTCTGTCTTTCAGGACTGCTTGCTTTAAAGGGCTTCCTTGTCCTTTTGTTCATGAAACTGATCTTCCTTAATTAGAGATGGAGCAAACAGATTGCAAACCTTACCAGCCTTTGTCAAAAGTCAAGCATGAAATGGATCTAGCTTATACCAGTTCTTCCGATGAGAGTGAAGATGGAAGAAAACCAAGACAGTCATACAACTCCAGGGAAACTCTGCATGAGTACAACCAAGAGCTGAGGATGAATTACAACAGCCAGAGCAGAAAGAGGAAAGAAGTAGAGAAATCTACTCAAGGTACATTTTTATTGGATTTGTGTAACTAATAATATCCTTTTTCATTAGGGAATGCTTGTTACATAAATTTAGGTTTCAAAAAAACATTTGCTGATGTTAACTGGTTAATAATTTGTACTCTTACATATGCTCAGGAAATCCATTTCATATGCTACCCCAGCTGAGGTTGTAGATTCCTGTGCTTTCTACGGATTATGCATGAATTTGGATGCAACAATCCTCTTATCAGAGCATTCAAAATTTGTCCGATCCTACAAATAGCCATTTACAGACTGAAGGATAAATAATTTATAGTAAGATGAAAAGTAAACATCTAAGTGCTTTGTAAGCCATTGGCTATATGGGACAAAAGTCCCAAATACATATTTGGTTACTGAGAAAGCTAGAAAATTTAAGGGGAGACTACCAAAAAGGATTCAGAAAGTCTATCAAAAGGAGCAGCAATTTTGTAAAGGAAGAGTAAGACATTTTTGGAACCCTTTCTACTATAGTGATATTTTGGAGCAAATTGCTTTGACATCTTTGGTTTCTCCATTTTGGACTCATAAGACAGTTTTATTTATTTTTATTTTTTGACAGGCAGAGTGGACAGTGAGAGAGAGAGACAGAGAGAAAGGTCTTCCTTTTGCCGTTGGTTCACTCTCCAATGGCCGCCGTGGCTGGCGCTCTGCGGCCGGCGCACCGCGCTGATCCGATGGCAGGAGCCAGGTGCTTCTCCTGGTCTCCCATGGGGTGCAGGGCCCAAGCACTTGGGCCATCCTCCACTGCACTCCCTGGCCACAGCAGAGAGCTGGCCTGGAAGAGGGGCAACCGGGACAGAATCCGGCACCCCGACTGGGACTAGAACCCGGTGGGCCGGCGCTGCAAGGTGGAGGATTAGCCTAGTGAGCCGCGGCGCCGGCCGACAGTTTTAACCAATAAAAAAACGTAGAGGCCGGCATTGTGGCACAGCAGGTTATGCCCCTGCTGGTGGTACCCACATCTCAGAATGCTGGCTTGAATCACATCTACTCTGCTTCTGATCCAGCTCCCTGCCAATGTGCCTGGGAAGACTGGAAGATGGCCCAAGTGCTTGGGGTTCCTATCACAAATAGGAGAGAGCAGGGTGGAGTTCTGGCTCCTGGTTTCTGTCTGGCCCAGACCTGGCTGTTGCCACTATTTGGAGAGTGTACCAGCAGATGAAAGATCTCTTTCTCTCTCTCCTCTCTGTCACTCTGCCTTGCAAAATATCAAAATATAGATAAAATATGGCTTCTTATTGCTTTTCAATTGAAAAATAGTATTAGAGGCCAGCGCCGCAGCTCACTAGGCTAATCCTCTGCCTGCGGTGCCTGCACACCGGCTTCTAGTCCCTAGTCCCGGTTGGGGCGCCAGATTCTGTCCCGGTTGCTCCTCTTCCAGTTCAGCTCTCTGCTGTGTCCTGGGAGTGCAGTGGAGGATGGCCCAAGTCATTGGGCCCTGCACCCGCACAGGAGACCAGGAGGGAGCTCCTGGCTCCTGGCTTTGGATCAGCGCAGTGCGCCAGCCTTAGCGGCCATTTAGAGGGTAAACCAATGGAAAAGGAAGACCTTTCTCTCTGTGTCTCTCTCTCTCACTGCCTAACTCTGCCTGTCAAAAAAAAATAGTATTAGAAACTATATAGAAAAGACTGTCATTGAAATATTCTTTTTAATAAGTCAATAATGAGACTATAAAATGGATTTGATTGTATAGATCAGCGATTCTGAAAGTATGGACAGTGAACCAGCAACAACATAACTAGAGAACTTACTAAAAATTCAGTCTCAGACCTACCCCAGACCTATTGATTCAGAAACTCTGAGGTTAGGACCCATCTATTTATGGTTTAATAAACCCTCCAGGGAATTCTGATGTCTGAAGACCACTGTCCAAGGCCTCTGAAATCACCTTTATTTAGAAGGCTTCAATGATCACATCTATTTAGGTGACTTTCAGATATCTTCAGTCCTAATCAATTTCCTAAATGCTAGTTCTAAATTTTCAGTCACCTGCTGGGCATATGCAAATGAATAACATGTTGGAAACTCTAAGTCAATATATTTCAAATGGAAGCACTTCTTTAAATCTCTGACATATGTTATCAATGTCCCCATTTTTCCAGTGAATCCACACACTGTCAAATAATCAGCTCCCTCAAAAGGAGAGTTGATCTTTACATCTCTCGAATCTATTTTCTCTTCATTTTCATTATCATTGCTTTCATTTATTCCTTACCTAGACTTCTTTGTTCTATCTTATCTCCCTGGGTCTCACTTCATCCCTCTTGAATCCATTTACTGTTTTGTTACCTCTTTCTTGTAATACCCTTTCCTGCCATCCCCCCGTATCCATATTAAGCTGTCTTTCAAGGAATAGCTTACAGGCATTCTGTGCCACTGAATCCTTGCTGTGTCATCTCTACTCCACTGTGTAGATGACCTCTTCTCCCATGACCTTCCAGAATACTTTGTTTTCAATGAAACTCTGAACTATTTGCCCTTTAATAGTCTTAAAGGAATTATCTACAGAAACGCAAGTGCTTGTCATGCACTGGAAACTTTTAATTATTGCCATGTCAAATGCAGTTATTACAAATGATAGCTACCATTTTCTAATTAGCACTGGAATGTTACATTTTGGAAAACTTGAAATTGAGCTAAAGATTTAGGATATTCATGCATTTGGGTATGCATTACATGTTTGTGATATTAACTATATTATTCATTTTTATCTCTTAACATAATTGGTAAAAGTTTCATTTCTGTGTTTTCAAGAAATTCATTTTAATCATTCCTATTTTTTTCTGCCAAAGACTGTGGACATTTGTTCTAACAATTTTCTTTTTCTGCCTGCCTGACAATTAGAAAATATTTTGTTTTGGTAATTTGGGGGGGGGGGGCTTTGTTATGCCTTAAGTAATGTATACCTTCCATAAAAATATTTCTCTGTATGTTTGTACTTATAGAAGATGAACTTACAATTGTGAGTTGTGGGTTGTAGGGTTGGTGAATAGAGTGGTTAACCTATATTGCGAGTTTAAATAAGAACACACACTGGTGGCAGTTCCTAAATTATGAATAATTTTATGCTGAATCCATATAAAGAGCTCACCAACTTCAGATTTTGTCTTTCTAAAATGTGATAAAGAATTTGGGAGGAAGTGTTTTTGTCTTTTATGATACTATCCTAACTTCCTTTCAATAAATATTTTTTACACAATAATCATTCATTTAGCACTTAATAAGTGTCATGCCCTGAGTCTGCTGCTGCTTGTATGAAATCCATAGTGTGGTTGTGAAAATAAGCCCAAATGATGATATGGAAATAACTCATTGCAATTAAATGTAATAATTGTTCTTACATTACTGAAAAACAAAATGCTATGGAAATACACAGGATGAAATAACTAATTTCTTCAGGGAAATCGAGGTCTATAAAAAGAAAAAAAAATGGATCTATTTCTTAAAAGTTGAATAAGAGTTTCCCAGCAAGACATTTTAAGAAATTATATTAGCAGGTGCAAAATACAAAGCTATGAAAACTATTGGAATAGGTAAATATGCAACATGACTATATCAAGGGATCTTGGAGCCAGATCATGAAGTCTTGCATTTCCAAGTTAGAAATTATTTTCTTTAAGCATTGAAAATCAGGCTTTCATTTGTGGAAGGGTTCTGTTATGAATTATAATATTTAGCATAAGTAAAGCATGCGATAATTGTAGACATGTAGCCAACATGGTAGGAGAGTGATGTAGTTGCAAGGAGAAAAATATATGTGGCCGTGGAATTAACTCAAGATAAGAATGGTGATGAAAGGATATAAAAATGGCTGTGGAGGTGAAGGGAACATTCAAGAGATATTAGTGTGGCCAAAGTTGCTTATTGAAGTTGAAAGAGGTAACAAAGTCAAGGATGATTCTAAAGTTTCAAGTTTGGTATCCTGGAAGGGTGATGTTCCATTTGTCAAGAGCCAGAACAGAGTAAGAGGAGCAAGTTTGGAAAGGAAGAGGCAGAGTTTCTTTTTGGAAATGTTAAGTTTAAGATGCTTTTGTGACATCCAGGTAGATTATCTCATCAGACATCAGACAGTTGGAAATGGTTGTCTAAGGTTCAGGACAGATCTTGGCTATGGATATAAGTATACTCTGGCTCATCAGTGTCTTAGAGTAGAAAATGCCTGGGGATGGATGATATCATCCATGGGTTATATGTAGGGTAAGTCTAGAAAAAAACCAAGAACAAGAACCAGAATCTATCATCCATAAACTGGCATATCCACATTTTGAGCCTATTTATATTTTTAGCCATCCTTCAGTGCACTCATTTATATAGATTCAGAAGCCAAAAGTCTGGAAACTTGAGATCTCATCCTCCACTGACCTACTCGTCTATGGAGAAATTATGTACCCTTTTTGGGGAGAAATGAATTACCCCTCGTTAGGCAAAATAGTCCAAATATCTTTTCTTTGAGGACTCGGATTATCTTTGTTGTTTTATTCCGTGTGTTCTGTCTATAAGTAAGAGAAACCATTCTTAATTTTCACAAATATTTGTCAGTGATGGTATCTAATAAAAATAAAATAAAATGAGCTTAACTCATTATCTTTCAAATTTTATTTATATTTTAGACATTAATGTTATTTGAATGGCGCAGTGAGAGAGAGAGAGCAAGCGAGCAAGCGAGAGAGAGCACTTCTATCCACTGATTTACTCCTCAGATGGCTGCAATGCCAGGGCAGGGCCAGGCCAAAGCCAGGAGCTTCTTCTAGGTCTCCCACGTGGGTGTAGGGGCCCAAGCACTTGGACTGTCTTCTTTATTTCCAAGCATATTAGCAGCGAGCTGGATCAGAAGTGGAGCAACCAGGATCCAACTGGCAGTCGTATGGGATGCTGCTGTTGTAGGCAGCAGCCTTACCCATTGTGTCACTCACTGGGCCCTAATTTTATTTAATTCGGCAGATAAAATTGTATTTATCATATACAAAATGATACTTTAAA